TTTCATGATCAACCTTTGATTAAAAAATTGTCAGACTAGTTTGAAATTTTATTTGTGTCTTTAATAGTTTAATCATTCCAGATATTGGCAAGAATTGCTTCAATTAATTAGCACTGATAGATCGAGCAGCGACAAAATAAGAGGTATAACTACGTAGGCAATAAATAACTAATCAAGAGGAATGAAACAAAACTTGTTCTTATTGATGTGGGCGCTTTGATATAGATGAGGGTTAAGGTATGGGGATCTTTGTTCTAGATACTGCTGGAGTAGTCCTCCGGGTGTGTGTTATTAAAAAAAAAAAAAAAGTATGTTGACAAATTTGAGTGGGACAGGCCTTGCTCTATATATAAAATTGAATGAAGCTTCATGGAATAAAAGCTTTCTCAATTACTACAATAGAATACAGACTTTGCATGTGACTATCGTTCTTCTTTCACCACTACACGGCCTATTTCATATTCATATCAAACGCAAACATCAACTTATTATGAGGTGAAAAATTCATAACAGACAGTCGTTTTCTGCATGATATATAAGAAAATAAGAAAATGAATATAATTCTTTCATATGAAATGCTAGATCATTGATGACTAGCGTGTTTTGAAAGGTGATTCTAGCTAGCTAGCTGGATGTTTCTAATAAGGATATATATATTTGGTGCAAAAAGGCATTATTAAGAAAATGCGAAAGATGAAGCTGTATGGACCACCCCGCAAGATTTTTTTTTTGTTGAAAGTGAATAATTGAAATAATTCATTATAGGTGAACCCAAAAGCACGAGAGAATGAATTAGAAATCTAGGTTTCAGTGTGCAAGTACCAAAAATATAATCAAGATTTGTGTGTGAACAAGGTGTGCAATCAATTGGGTGGAAACAGAAAAGGGCCATTATTATTTTAGCATGCAACACAAGGAAGAACGAATAATTATGAACATATCTTTTTCCATGATTTTAATCAATACTCTTGCATGTTACCATAGAAAAGGTCATCAGTTTTTTTTCCCCATTTAATTCATCAAATTATTTGCTATTTAATGCGAAGTTTGTTAGAGATATGCCAAAAAAACTGATCCTTGATTTTTTTTTTCTTTAATTGAAATTGAGCCTTTAGAGATACATATGACCAAAGAAGCGGACAAAGACGAGAAAATGAGCCTCATATTCTTTCTTCTGTATGATTATATCTCTACCTCTCTTTATCAGAGTGTCACATTTAGTGCAGAAGAAGCTATGTTCAAATTATTTTCTGTTGCTTAGATATTTTCTCCTACTTTTTCGTATAAATTATGGTTGCTCCAACACTTCCATGTTTTGGGTAAAGCAACAACTGTGACTACTAATTACTATTCACACCGTGTAGGGCTGTAAACTGAGTTCGTCATTCGCTCCTTTCAGAATCTTACATGGCTTGACTTGTCTTGTGTGAGAGAAACTCATACTTTTTTATTATTATTATTATTATTATTATTATTATTTTTGGATTTTCCCGTTACAGGTTTTTTTTTTTTATTTTTGGGTTTCAATATTGATAGTATTAAAAACCCCCCAGAAAATGACAAAAGGCTGGCATAGTACGCTGGTGATGAGTAATGCACCATGATAATGGAGTAAGTTGTTTATGGATTGCGATGCCTCTATTTGGAGTTTACAGCTTGATTAATTTTGGATTGAATCATGCCCTACAAGTTGAATTCAAATCCATTTGTATTCAAAATAACTTTTCTTTTAATTTATCAGCGAGAAATTGGGTTTAAGATTGGACTTCTACGGTTCTAACTTCTGCGTACTCATCATTTTGAACCATTTTTCTTACTTAATTACACCAATTATTAATGAAAACAAAAATTTCAACTATTTTGAGCTTTAGCTAGCTCAATCATGAGTAAGGTAAAAATTCCAAAATCAACGTTGAAAATTAAAGGTGGAAGAAATAATAACCCTGTCATTAATTCACATTAAGTCAACTCGAAGATAGTGGACAAAATTAACGAGGTAGGAGTCAGAGTGAGATATTAATCATCAAATTTGTCACTATCGTGGCCGGTTATCAGTTTGTGTCGAAGGTGGTCGGACGGCACCACCTTTCATTAGCCAACATGGCTATGGTGGTCTTAATAGGATCTTGCAATACAGACAACAATATCATCTATAAACAAGGTTCTGCTTACATGTTGATTTTGGGTCAAATACGTATCGATGGGCAATCATAAGCTTCTGTATATATACACACACACACACATATGGGGTTAGCTAGCATTAATGGCATATTGGCACCGTCACTATATGTCGGTTTCTCGATGTCAATTAGCTGCACTAAAATTTTGAATCTATTTGCTATAGTTTACTTAGGTGAATATAAGATTGAATAATCTTTGTAATTGTTTCACCTTGTAATGTAACAAAAAACTATGAATCTATTTTTATATTAATGAATTATTTTCTCTCCATCTCTCATGAACTGTATATATTTATTCCTATGAACGCACACAGGTTAGACAAAAAAACCACACCAGAACGTAACTCTATAGTTTCAACTTTCAAGTACTTTTGAGGTGGACAAAGGGAATCTTTATGTAAGGTTGAGAGTAGTAGTGGTGAGTATGTGGTTGATGTATGAATATAAAGGGGTAACTAATTGAAGTCTCTATCACAGAAGCTGAACAATATAATTACGAGAGAACCAATAAAGTGTTGGGAACAGAGCCGCAGCAGAGCAGGTATTGGAAGGTGAGGGAATGAAAGTGGATGAATATTGAAGAAGAAGGAGGAGGACGAAGATGATGATGAAGTTATATAATGAATGGGCCCCACCCTAGCGGTATCAATGCAATTCTCAAGAGGGATATAGCTACATTAATAATATAGCTGGTGGGGTTTGCTTCATCAAACGAGAAATAGTGTGAATCAAGCAATTGCTGAAGGCATTTTGGGGCGGTTTGTGGGACTACTAGATGGTGGGCTGCTTTGTCCCACGCACATTAAATGTATTTACTAAGCATACATTTTCAAACTCCTCATCATATCCATTCCTACATGGGAATGAAAGCATACCCATCTGTTCTTGTTTCTTAACTACATGTCTATATATTTTGGCCTTGCCTAAGTTTTAGTTTGTTGAGTAGAAGTCTTTCCTTGTAACACCAACTGTCTTTTTCTCTAAATTTCTCGGCACTCTGTCTTCTATCAATTAGTGATGCCCAAATAGTGAGAATCATTAATTTCATTTTCCTTTTTTTTCCCCCTTGTTCCCATTGCTTAGGAGTTTCTTCTGTGTATAAAATAATGAGAATTACAATCAAATCCCAAATTAAAAAATTAATTATTTTTTCAGTTCATTTATAAATCAAATTGTTATATTTACATATTAAACTTTAGCATAAACAAGTGAATGAGATTTGTAAGTAATTAATTTTTTTATGAAAGACCTACTTATAATTCTCTCTAAAATAAAAATGTTTTGAGAGTGAAAAAAAAATTGATGTAAAATAGCTCTAAAACTTTTATTTTAAAACATAATAGACTTTTGACCAATGCAGTGCTATCAAAACTAGAGGTAATTCGGGCAGGCTCAGCTTATTTGGATCGAATTTCATCACTTATATAAAAAGCCTATATAGTCAAACTTGACTCTAACACCTTTGAGTTTTAGGCTTATTCAGGCTGGTTTAAATATTCAAAACTTTTAAAAATATTTTTTTCTATTTTTTAATCAATTTCAATTTTGAAGTTATTTTGTTAAGCATAAAACATTATTTTAACTTTAAAGAAATAAAATAAAAATAATAACTTATTACCTTTGTACTTGAGTAACTCTATTACTATTTTATTGTATTATGTATAATTTATTTATAAATATTTTCTTTATTTGTAAATCAATATCTTACTTATCTAAATATTATTCTTATTATGGTTATATATAAATATTTTATATATATTAATTAAATTATATTATTTTAATTATGATCAAGTTGATCTCAATTCAATTACGATTAAACCACTAACTTAAAATTATTGCCTCGATTGGTTCAAAACTTTTAATAACTTTTAGATAAATTGTGCTTTTTATTTTTAAAAATATAAAAAAATAGTCATAATTACATATATAAAACAAAATTTATTTAATTATGCGTAAAATAATTTTTTTTGGAGTTGTTTTTTTTTTCATTTTTTACATTGTTTAAACCCTACGTATAAGAGATATATACTTTGAAGATAATCAAATAATTACCTAAAAATATTATTTTATTTATTATATGTATCTAATAATAAAAGCAAGAATTTATATATGTCTGAATTTTATTTTTAAAATTATCTTTTCTTTTTTACTTAAAATTAATTATTTTATTTTATAAAAAATATAAAATATATCTTTTAAATACTTAAATAATACATAGGACTTAACTTTTTTAAAAACTATGTGGATCTTAAAATATAAAAATCAATAGTAAATTATATTTTAAGATATTTTATTGATTAAAAATAATAAAAATATCAAAATGTAAATATTTTTTATTTTTTTAAAAAAATAATTAATATTTATTATATTATATATATTTTTAAAATATTATATTTTCATTCAAATATTCAAGTCAAACTCAAACCTAATTGGGCAAACATTAAAAAATTATTTTCTTCCAGCTTAACTTCAAGCTAACTAGTCAAGTTTAGTCTAAATTATCAACTCTCATAAAAACCACTAATCAGAGTTGCCACAAACACAAGAGCTACTAATATTATATTAATCGGGTACAATTAACTTCGAATAAATTTATGGTGTTGACTGTCGAGACCTTCAACTTCCCAAAATTCATCAGAAAAATTGACAGCCGCCGAGCGCCATGGCACCAACAAAAATCTCAGTAGCATTGAAGCACGACTGCTCAACAACTCTTGCATGCCCTTGGCCCAAAAAAAAAAATAATAATAATAACAACTCCTGAATGCAGTTGTATTAAAAGTAATTATTTTTGGAGTTGAACTGAACCGGTAAAAGTAATTATTCAATGACAATTTAATCTGACGATTTTCTTCTTTTTTGGTAGATTGAGTCCTTAAAAATTTCATACATACAAGTCCATCCGCAGTAATATGATGTTAACCGAAGAAAGAAAATCAAATGAGACGTTAATCACCCAAAGAACATAAACTTCCCCGAGCCAAACTACTGCCTAAGCAAAAGAGATCGACTCATAATTATACATGCAAGCCCAGATAACTTTCAAAGGAAGTTCCTCTGAAAGGTTCCAGAAGAAAACCTTGAAGATAAGCCCTCACACATGCTTTCTGGATCCAACCTCACATTCATCCTCCCAGCAGTTAGATCCTTTTCACGGTCCCAAGGTTTCCATGGATGTTGACCCACCCAATCTTCTTTCTCTGCTTCTTGTTTCTGCTTTGATTTCTTCTTAGATTTGCTAGCAATCTCTTCTTGGTGCTTTTGTACCAATGATTTTGACCTCTTCGCTTTGTTGTATTTGTCCACCAACTCTGCATCCTCACTAGCCCTTTTCTTCGCCTCTTCGTTAGAGGAAAGCGCTGTAGCCTCGTTGTAAGCTTCTAAATAACTGCCATGAAATATCATTATGATGTAGAACAAATAGAAAACTAAAACCAAGCACCTAAGTCTGAATATAATTTTTTATTGTCGGTGAAAAACAAGTCAATAAACCAATAATCTACCTCTAACAATTCCATACACATGTACATATACATCCACACACAACTAAAACTTCCAACAAGTAATGGTCATCTTGGAATCAGTAACCACAATCCAGACCTCCCAAAATAAAGTATTAATTATCTGATGGCCTGTTTAGCTGATAGACCTGTTTTGCTTGAAATCGTTTTGTTATTATAGATCAGTTTTCATTCAAAAATTAAATAAAAAATGAAGTATTGATCACGAAACTCTAACTTCTAAACTAATAATTAATAATCTAATTAGATCAAAACACATGAGTAGCATTGGCGTCACTTTATGGTCACCCAAAACCTCCTCAAATCATGTTCCAAACAGAAGGGAAGAAAAATTGACCACCAAAAACACTTTTGAATAGAATACGTACTTCATCTTTGCTTTCTGGGCTCTGTCTGATGGAGCATCTGTCCAAGCACTGGTATCACCACGGCCTTCCTTTGAGCTCCGGCTAAACTTAGTAGTTTGCGTGGGCATACCAGGCTGCAACATCAAACAAATTGCCTTCATTTAGAAAACTCACATGAAATATTAATAGATAGAGCTCCCTTTTACACAAATTAAAATGTCCATTGCCATGGTGGCAACTATTTCCCACCTTTCAGGAAAAAAAGAGAGAGAAATTACAAATATCTCATTTGATATAAAGTCAAATTATAAATATTTTCTTTTTTGTTGGAATAAATATTTTCTTTATTTTTCTAATCTTACAATCAATTATCCTACTACTTACCATCATATTACTGAAACTTCAGTCATATAGTGTCATTGACGTCTACTAGATAAAAGTGTAACTACTCTCAAATTGTGACTGTTTACCAAGCATATTAAGTGACCCCAACTGTATTCAGATTATCAAATATGGACTGTTAGAGAGGAGACGTGTGAAGCTGAGTAGTTAAGTTAATTATTAACAAAATCTTGGCTAGGACAAAAGGATTAATGAAAATTCAACCATAAAAGGAAATGTCGAAGCAAGAATAGCAGTTATGGCCGTTAATTGAGTTCCTTCTAGAATCTCTCTCTCCCCCCCTCCCCTTCTTCTTCTGTAGACAAATTCTATCTTTATGTACTCATGCATTCATTGATAAGCTCTCCTACATGCCGACTATCTAAGGAACAAGATCACTTACTTTCCTCTCAGGAGGTAGTGTTGTCATCCATTCATCTCTTTTTGGTTCAACTTTGACCTCTGTCTCTGCCAGAAGCACATCATCACCTTCCATTGATATACCTGCCAACAAGCTTTCTAACGATAAGATAACAAACTTCACAAGTAATGACACCAAACTACCAACCCTGCCACACTTTTAAAAAGGAAAGAACAAATGCGGCCAATCATTAGAAATAGAAGAATTTAACCCTGCAATAGCAATATACATTATAAGGGTAGGCCTTGCCCAAATGATAGTGATAGGAAAGTTCATGATATGTCTATTTTCCAACATCAAATGTTCACTCAAAATGTAAACCATCACCACTAAAAAGAAAGAGCATATACCATTGACTTCATTCCATATTCCACAAAAAGACTCGCTGAATTAACACTTGAGCACCGTGTTTAGTTATTAATGCATAAGAGGCAATACTCCATCAAGTATGCTGGTCACTCATAACGTACCTTCTCCCGGAAGCACAAGGCAAGGTCACTCAAATTAAGAAGAAAATAAGAAAAAAGCTTTTACAATATCAATCCAATTTCTGTGTAAGATGAGACTAGAGTATGCATCAGTATATTAGATTAACTTGTTATACCCTCACTCCAATCCCAGCTCAATGCATAAAAGGTATGACTAGAAAAGTAGGGATAAAACAGCTAAGATTGTCTATAATGAACTACATGTTATATCCTACAAATTTCAAATCTATTTCTACTTTCATTAGCAAGGTGAATGATAGACATAAGATTGTTAAAGGCTCTACTCTTATTTCTTTTTATACTTCTTCTAAGCCTAATATGCAAGAAATTAAAAATAAACTAAATTGTGAAGGGCCTCTACATCAGCATCAGTAAGCTCACCTTGTGATCTTCGCCAGAGTGCAGCCTCACGCATAACTTTGAACTCAGCCTGTAGACACGTGAAGGTATTGGTCATGGCAATTATAAGCTAAGCAAGTCAACTAAGCTGTAGTACCTTTAAATCCTCCTGCTCTTGCTTCAGTTTGATTTTATCATCCATTGCTTTCCTCTGCAAAAGGAACAATGTTGTCTAGTTAAAACTGTTCGCATGTCACATAACAGAACTTGAAATAGTACGAAGCACCCAATGGATTATATGTCATATCAGGTGCTAAAATAAACCTTAAAAACTTGAATGTTTTAAACAATAATAATAAACAGAAGTAAAAGGAAAGTAAATGAGAAAATTTGGAGAGCTGAACATTTTTATTTTAAAACTTAGGGATTGAAAAATGCACTAATCTGAGTTATAGGGAGAATCACATCCCCACCTGGGAAGACAATTATTCGTAAACAAGAATCAATACAAAATGAATTGCTATTAAAATAAGAACATGACTTGTTCTTATTATTGGTCTTTATCCATGAATAATTTCATTCCCAAGTCTTTGTATGTGATTGTCCCTAAGTTATATAGTTTTGAAAACCGGACTGAAAATTGGTTGAGCTTGCTAGAACAGAGGTCTGACCTCCAGACAAGACTATCCGGCTCAACAACTGATCAAATGTTAACAAAACTAGCTGGTTCAACAGATAAACCAGCATGAATGAGGCATGTTCAAGTGCCTTTGAAGTTTGAACCAGTCTAAGTGTGGTAAGCTGGGTTGGGATGACATTAAGTTTAACTCTTAATAGAAAAACAGCACAGCTGCCCATAATTTTTGTGGAGGACTTATCTACTGATCCATCATTTCTTTCCAGAAGAGAAAGATACTGTGCATAAAATTACCAACTACTTAGCAAAAGTAAACTCAATATTTAAAAAATAAATATTTTCAACAAATATTTCTATGGGTAGGCTTTCATGTTGAAGTTCATTGAAAAGGCAAGAGATCCTTAATGACCGAACTGTTAGCAGCTCATTCCATGCCACCCTATGCTAACAAATTTAGTTTCAGCAAAGGTACAAGAGGCTTGGGCTTTGTCCATACCTGAAAGCCCACAGGCCATCCGCATGAAGGAATGGTAGATATTAAAATTAAAAAAATATTAATAAAAAAAAATCAACAATAGATTAGGCATAAATAGATAAATATCAACTATCATTGGATCACTTGACCAAGCCTATCACGTATTTACCACACCCCAACACCAAATACAGTTGCTGCACCAAGATAACAACTAGCAGAAAGATTCTAAGATATAGATAAAGCAAATAACTTTTTCGTCAAAACTCTCACCTATTAATCACAGAAATATTTCAACATAATCCATAGCTGACTAACCTTTTCTGGATCTTGTAACTCTTTAAAAGCCTTGTTTATCTTGATAAATGCTTGGTGGGCTAGAGGATGAGAGCATTTGTCTGGGTGAACCAAAAGTGACATCTTCCAGTACCTAAAGAGGCATTAAACAAGATAATAAAAAAAAAAATGGAAATGATTTTGATTCTATATGGCACTCCATATTAGGATAATGCTTGAAAAAGGAGTAGAGCAGCAATTTGATCAGCATAGAAATATTATACAAGTAAAAGAGGCCATGAAAAAAAATACGAAGTAACTAATCAGAAGAAAAATTCCAAGCATTCAGGTTTGATGCTCAAATTTTAGCATGGTTTAAGGTGTAAATTTAGTCACAAACATTTTTCGAAGAGCACTAGATAGCCTATACTATTAAGTGATGCAAAATAAATCAACAATTTAAAATAGAGCATCAAACGCCAACCGTTAACTTTGAAAAAGTTGACCGTTAATTTTTTTTTTTCACTAAAATATTTACACATGGCAAGTTTTTATTGACTGGTCCCTCCCTTCTCACTACATTGACCCTTCTTCTTCCATAACAAGACACACTGGGTTTCGGAATTGGCCACCTCTCCCCACTTTTCTTGCCTGCAACAGCAATGGTCTGCAACCATGACTATCTTCTCCAACCCCTCTTTCTCTTTGAGTTCCGAACTATATGTAACACCATGGAAATTGAAGGGAGGTGAATGAGGAGGTTTAGGATTCCAAGAGACTCAAGACAGAACTGTACACTTCTGCCGATAAATCACAAGGACCATAGTACCTCAGACACAAAGGGAACACTTGAGAAGTAGCAACAAGAACTTCCCTGCATGGCTCACATGCTTCTTCCTTCTCTGAAAAACCACACGTTTCTGAGAGAAAAAAACAGAGTCCTAGAGAGAGAAATAGAGGCAGAGATGGCTTAAACATAGAGACCAGATTTGCGCCTCTTGGACTCCACCCCTGACTTCGTTTTCTGCGTCGCCGCCAGTGTCTTCTCTCACCTTATTTGAAGACATTGACAAGGATAACGCTGACGAAGTAGAAGACGACAACAATGGCTCTTGATGATGATGATCCTTCCCAGTGTCGAACGACAGCGACGCATTGAGAGCACAAGGAATGAGAGCCAAAGATAGATACCAAAGTTGGTTAGTGAGGCAGTGGAGATATTGGTGGGTTTGGTGGGTAGGAGAGAGAGGGTTAGACGAGGCAATGGTGAATGGATTCTCTCTCTTCAAACGGCATTATAACAAATTGATGGAAAGGTGCCAAGTGGTCTGATCTTATGAGTTCATGATTTATTTTGCACCACTTGATAACCATTATCCAGTACTTCTCAAAAAATAATTCATGGCTAAATTTGCACCTTTACCTTTTTAGCATTAGTATGTTTAGACTTTTGAACCAGTACAGCAGACAACAATCAAAGTTGAGTAAAGTAGTGTGCACAATCTCCACCAGACAGGAAAGTTCTTTTCCCTATTTTAAGTTATGTCAAAACAGTAATCTGTTCTGGCATGAGACCACAAATTAAAATTGATATGTATTCCTTCAGAAGATTCTTCGTTAATTTGATCAAGAAGAATATTATGACTTCTGCTGTATTTCTAGCCCCTTCAACTTTTTTTTTTTTTTGGCTGCATAGCCCCTTGTACTTGCTACATGAATCTACATCTATTCTTTAAATAGGATTGACGTGTGTTTCCTTTTCAAAGGCTAGCTGCCCACACCTGATCCCTTTTCCTTTTTGTATCTAACCTTCACCATCTTCAAGGAAACCCTCTCTTCACATTTGAAGGGGGGAAAAATCAAACCTAATTTTTCCTTTTTGTAACAGAGTTTATGATGTAGTAAGGGAAGGAACCAAAAGGGTATGACAAGTAACCTAAAGACTGAGCAACCCAAACATAACCATCAAGAAATCTCAGTTCAAAACAAAACATAAAATATTAGTCCTACTAAAGTATATCACAAAGACCCTGTCAACTGATTTTGAAATTTGAAGGCACTAATAAGTAATAAATAAGAAATAAACTCACCCTACAAATACACAAATCAACTTAATGAACATAATCATTATCCACTCACGCTGCATTAGTTTGACGCCCTTACATATACAACTTTCTATTCGGTTGTACTCTTCATAGAGACTAAAACTAAGAAACATAAATGAGTGCTTGCATTTTACTTTTGGGCATCTCCAGACATATTTCACCTCTTTCTGTGATTATGTGTGGGTATTTGATAGTGTACAGGTCAAATAGTTTAAGCTATGATATGAAGGTGCACTCATGCAAGACAATGAAACCATCTCTACCCCAATCAGACCTTACCGGTCATGCTAGCTGCTCAACAAATTTGATAGGTTTAACTAATCAGGTATGTATCAATATCAGATATGTGGCACCACTCACTCTTTCTTCTCCCTTTTTTCTTTCTTTTTTGGATTTCAAATGATTTCTTCTTCACTCCCAGTCTTGTCTCTGCATTCACTCTCTATCCATCAAAAACCTTTCTTTACCTTTTCTTTTTTCATAATTTCAGATATCTTTTCCCTCTTTTTCAAACCACAATCTCTCCCCTCAATCCAAGCAAGAAAAATTCACCAAATGAACATGCCATGCTGACAACTAAGTCACCTCGGCTCTTAAAATTTTTCATTCTGCACCAAAGTTGACCAGATAAAGAATATTGATAGGAAGAAAGAGGATAGAAGCCAGAACTCAGAAGAAAGGGGGGACAGAGAGAATTAAGATTCATAACTTCATCAACGACCATACACATGTATATAAAGGATAGTTATTAAAGAATCCTACAAAATAACTCCCTTAACAATAAGTCAGTTATAAAGATTAAGAACTAATAAAAAACTTACAAATATTCCTCTACACAACTCTTATGCATAAAAAATATCCTATTCGTCAATTAATGACGTCCATGAAAGAGAACAAACCTTTTCTTTATGTTATCACCAGACATATTATGGTTGACTCCAAGAACATCATATGGGCTGTCAGCCTCAGCTTCCATGATTCTTGTAACCTGAAATGAATGGTTGACAAGCTAAAGTAAGATGAATTGTTCAATGCCATACAAAAGCTTAGAGCATAACTGACGATAAAGTTCATTTGAATGGATAATAGCATATATTGTAGAAAAAGATGAGACATGTCATCTGAAATCAAGGATGAACTGGCTCTTCATTTCAGGTCTAAAAATTGAAAAGAGAAATGGAAAAATGGAGACATTAGAAAGCATAGGCCAACAGAAAAACAAAAGAGACATCAAAAGACAAAAGCTATCAAATTAAACTTTCTAATTTTTCAGGTTCCCAAGGAAAATGACACCTTAAAATAAAAATACTGTACACCAATTGTACAAACCAAGGCTTTTATCTTAATACTTATCACAAGAGAGAAATTTCAACGGACATGCATCATTTTTGAAATTAAATAAAAACGTATAAAAAAAATATACCTAATGATTGCACAAAGAAAAACTGACTTTGATGTATCATTAAAGTTAAATACCTCTTCAAAGCGTTCTGCCTCATTAGCTGATTCTGCTTCAGTAACCATAGCAGGTGGTGGAGGTCCTATGAATAATTCGGCATCGTCTACCAGTTCTGCTTCTCTAAGAATAAATTTGAAAGTTTCAAAAAGCATAGAATGATGCGAATTAAGTCCTGGAAATCAAATGATATAAAGCATTTACCAAGGAAAACATCATAAGTTGGCACCTGAGCTCAGCTTGAGCCTCTGTTAATTTGGCGGCAGCAGCAAGTAACTCAGCTGATGGCATTGCAGGGCCTATCATTCTGCAGAAATAATATATCAATAATTAAAAATAATACCAACCTCCCCCTCAAAACTACCAACAAAACATTGGGGGAAAATCCTTACACAATCATTATTGAGTTAAACATTAAGTTTGTACAGATAAGAAAATATCAACTTATAAAAAACAGTTAATTTCTGGTCAGATGGAGGATCTGCATAACAGATCAAATAAAGTTATTGTTCTTGATTCCTGGGAACCATCCTTTTGCATGACAACTCACAGTCACTCACTTTCACAAAAGTATACAATAAGGTAAACAGCAACCTATTGAAACAAACAAATAGCCCAGAGTTCATAGCACCCACAAACCCCAAAGAAAAAGGGAATGTGAGAACTAGAAAATGCGGAACTCCAGGCGTAAAGACACGTTGTTTCCTGTTCTTGCAACCCCACCTCCCATAGTGAGACAGCAGGTTTCTCGAGGCATAGGTGAAACCAAACTGATTCCCAATTAAAAGAACACTCTACTGAATAGGGAAAGCTACAGGAAAGCCTCAGTCTGCACACTTACATTTTATCTTAGCGAGTTATCAAAATGATATAATATAAAGAAGGCTATGTATGATATTCATCGACAGATCAAACTAGTAAAGAAGTTTCCGCGATGGATTTTCCTACAAGTGAGCTGATTAATTAATAACAACAACAACAACAACAAGCCTTTATCCCACTAGGTGGGGTCGGCTACATGGATTGCAAGACGCCATTGTGCTCTATCATTTATCAAGCTTTTAGAAATATTATTAATTAAGAGATCACGTTCAACAACTTCCAAGAGTGTTCTCTTAGGCCTTCCTCTACCTCTCTTAATATCCACCAAAAATCTTTAACTAGAACTATTGATGATAAACAACAGTGACAACTGATGAAGAAACAAAAGAGAAGAAACATAACAACAAATGAAACAAATCATGAATCCTTGTGATGTCCATATCTCTAGTTCTCCATAGAAGAATGTATTTCATAAAATTTAACATAACGAAAAATATTCATCCTCTCACCTTCTTTGGGGACCAGCAGAAGGAGCTTCTGGGTCATCAACCATCTTCTCATTTCCCATATCTGCTGGAACTGAATATGTTTCAGTCATTGCCGCAGAAGTATCTATTTGCTCCTTTAGGGAATCTATATATGAGTGAATTAAAGGGCCAACAACTTCCAAAGTGGGACGAACTTTAGAAGGAAGTAAGAATACTCTATCTCCATTTTCCTCAAGATTTAATGAAAGAAACAACTTCTTCAAATGCTTCGTAAGCAATCTTTCAGATATTCCCTTGATGTCAACGGCTTGCCCATCATCAATCATTTGCAAAAGCTGTAATAGAAATAAGATTAAGAAGAAACAAAAGACAATAGCTGTTGTTGATTAATAAATACAGTATTAATATCGCATTAGCCTGATTTCCTGCAACTAAAATTCCGACAATTTTCGCCAACACAAGTTCAACTGTAATTAAAAAAAAAAAAAAAAGCAACATACTTCTAGCTTAGAAAAGTTTTCCCTGAGCGTTGTCTGAACAGTTTAACTGGCATCATTGGGTTCACTAAACACCACCAAAATTATCTATCGAACGACCATTCAAATAAGAAATACTTAATAGGTAAGAAAAATACCTGTTTCAAATCGTTGCCAACATTAGGAAACTCCCTCATCATTTCACGCAGCACAGTTTCAGGTTCGACTCTCAATCTCTCTTCCTCCTCAGACCCACCACTGGAAGAGTCGAACCCGTTTTCACTAATTTCATCAGAATCGTAGTTCCTCTTCTTCTTTTTCCCTTCTCTTCTCATCTTCCCTCGTTTTCTGTCTCTATGTCTGCGACTCTCCTTCCTATCTCTCTTTTTCCTTCTCCTTTTCTCGTCCTTTTCCATTCTCCGTTCTCTCTCTCTCTTGGACCTCGCATCGCTTCTTCTGTGCCGCTCCTTTCGATGACGGTACCGCCTCTTGGAAGAGTGATCAGAGTCGGAGGAAATCGACGGAGAGGATGACGACGGAGAACTACTGGTTGTGTCCTCTAGCTTCTGCTTCTTTCTTCTATCACTCATCTGGGGCTTTTGAAAAGTCGTGAATCTACGAAAGGAATAGTTGCATGAATAGGAACGGCTCCAGGTTGAGGAAATTCAATTGCGATCATAGAAACAGAAGATGGAAGCATATTCAACCCAGCCTTCTTCTATCAATGCGATGCGGGGAATTTTGCCTCCCTCGGCATCCCAACTTTTTCTTTCTTCTTTATTTTAAAATTTAAAAATTTTAATACAGTAGAAGCCCGGACCCGATGCTCATCACATCTCCTCTGCCTTCGTTTCATTTCAGCCTAAAATATCTCTATCATTCTTTTAAATTAATATTATATTTATTAAAATAAAAAATTTAATATTAAATCTAAATTATTTATAGTAATACATTTAAATAATTAATTTTTAAATTTTTAAATATTAAATTAGGTCATGTGAATTATATCTAAACTATTCAGAGTCTATTTAGATAATCAAATTATAAAATTATAAAATTTTTAACATTAAGCTGAACTGTTAGATTAAATTTGTATCAAACAGATTAAAAATAAACATATTCATTAAAATTTCAAAATTTTTATATTTTTTATATTAATAAATATAATGTTAAAAGGGGAGAATTACATTAAAGCCCCATAGAAGAAAATTAATTACTGTAAGGTCTATTGACAACTGAACTAAACTATATTAACAACACAATCAATTGTCAATACAGCTTAGTTTAGTTATTAATGAATCTTGTAATAATTAATTTCACTATATAGAATTTGGTTGTAATTCTCCCTATTAAAAACATTTAAAAATTAAATTAAATCAACGAGAGAGATCAATTTGGAATGAAATGCACTTGGCCCTAATGAGCACCAAATACAAATCCATAATTTGCCATGTTTAGAGACCAAGAGATCTTTTAATGATGGAAGATGTAGAGCAACTGAATAATATATTTTATTAAAGGAAAAATGACAATAAAATTCCTTTAAATTATGTAAATGACATTTTAATCTCTTAAAATGTCATAATTTTTTTAAAATTTTTAGAGACTTTTCTGTCATTAAGAAATTAATATCCTTAATTCAAATATCAATTACTATTCACAAGTTTTGTTCTAAGATTCACAACTTTTTTATTTAAATTATAAGAATTCAACAACAATTTGTAAGTTTGAATTAAGGGTAATTTAATCATTTACATTAATTTCTTAATGACAGAAAAGTCCCTAAAAACTTTAGAGAAATTATGACATTTTAAAGGATCAAAGTATTAATTATATAATTCAAAGAGATTTTATTATAATTTTTCCTTTCTTAAATCATTAGATCGTTTGATACAAAGATCAACTAAATAAATAAGCAAGGCTATAACTATTTGTAAGCAAATAAAAACATCATAAACTAAAGCCCATAATTGAAATAAACCTGATAAACATAATCAAAATTATTTGATTTTCTCTACACTTTCCCTCAAGTTGGAATCGAAGATGTTCAAAGTACCCAACTTGATTATCATTCTCTCATGACTCCCTCTTCCAAGTGCTTTAGTAAGCACACTAGCTTGCTACTTTGTAGAATAGATGTGTTGCAATGAAATCAACCCTTTTTATAACTTTTCCTTCACAAAATGATAATCAATTTTAATTTGTTTCGTCCTCTCATGAAACACTATAGATACAATCTGTATAGCAACCTTATTATCACAAAAAACACTGACAGGAGTTAATTTGGTATGTTCAATTCTTTTAATAAACTTGTCAACCACACTATCTCATATTGAAGGTCAGGAACAAGAATAAAAGAATATGTGTGTATATATATATATATATATATATGTTGATGGGGCTAAAATACTAGTGCAAGTGTAAAAATGATGTTTTAAACATGTTACAATGGTTTGATGCAATGCAATGATATTTGCCTCCCCCTTTGTTTTTGATAAAAAGGGGTTGAGGAGTGATTTTATGCAATACTGGTGTTTAAGTATGTGTGATGTGTTGTACTGATAGTCTTAGATCCAGTGGACATGATCTAAATGTTAGAAAAGACTTTTAGTACTTGTTGTGGGTTTTGGACACCCTTTTTATGTAAAAGTTATAAAGAGTGGTCAAATTATGTTTGGGTATTCAACTTCTTAGTGTGATCTATTTTAAAAGTGAAACATGTGCCATTAGTTAATGTATAAAAAGATCTGTTCATAGACACCTAGATTGTAACATTTCAATTTTTAATTCTCTAAATTACTAAGATTAATAAGGAAAATTAAGTAACTTAATGTGGTGTGTGGTCAAAGGAGAGTAATAAGTGGCTTTAGTTGTAATTCCAAGTATAAATTAGGTCCAAAGTGAAATTAGGTCATTTAGGGACTAAAAAATGGAGAAAAATAAACTAAAAAGCCTCTGTGCCACATGCCACGATGCGTGCACGGTGCACCACAACGCACAGGGCCATCAGGCAAGAATTTTCCTTATTTACACCACATGTTATGGCGCATAGGGACAAGCACCACGATGTGCAGTGTGAATTCTGCAGAATTTAGACGTGAACTGATGCGAAAAATAGAAAGGAAAGGAAAAGGAAATGGAGGAGCTCACATTTGCTCTACTAAGGCATGACTTAGATGAGAATTTGAGAAGGTTTGAAGCTCTAAATTATCTAAGATAAGATTCCTAAACCTTTTTTCTCCTTTCCTCTTTCATTTTCTCAAAGATTGGAGTTAGGGTTTAGATGAGAATAGTGATTTTAGTCTATATGAGGTAGGGGTCCAAACTCATTAATTCAAATGGAGTTAATGGGAGTTGTTCAAAGTATTTAAACTTAGTATAAATAATTTTGGTGGTTGTTAGATGATAGGCTCCATTAATGTCTGAAAATGAACATTAAATTTGTTATTATTGTGGTTGTTGAGGTATTAATAGAAATATGGCTATTTAATAAAGTTACATGATGTTATAGATAGATAATGAACCTAATGAATAAGCTCCAACTCATATAGAGTGAACATTGGGCAATTTAAAAGTAAAGGATTGAGGGTTTAATGCTTGAGTTGATAATGTTAATGAAATTCAACTTAGTTGATTATATTTTTTGGCTTTTGATTACCTATTTAGCTTAGGAACTCAAGGTTGAAAGCTCTTGTACTGAGGGGTAAACCTTTGACTTTTAAAAAATTTGAGGTAATCGAGGAAACCCTACTTTAGATAGTTATATACTCCTCTAGTCTAATATATAAGTCACTTTCTAGAAGTATAATCTAATCCACTTTATATGTTATTTATTGATGGAATTGTTTTGTTTCAAATTAAAATTCCCAAATGACCCTTAAAAAGTAAGAGAGAGAAAGACAGAAAAAATAATATTATATAATTGACTTACTTTTTGCTTTTTACTTAAGGGTTATGTTTGGAATTTTACTTTTTTTTGTTCCTTGTACTTTTATTATATTGGTATTGATGAGGTTGGTAGAAATGACTTATAAATAGGATCGGAAGGAGTATTAATTAATTATTAATTGATTATTAAATGTGAATTGTAAATGTTACATGCATAGGATTGATTTTCAATGTAAAATCATGTATTAATTTTAATGAGTGTATGAAAATTTAAATATGCATGATGCTATTTTTGGCTTGACATGAAAAATTTGAAGTCAAGAGGGTTTCCGAACCATGAACATGCTTATGCTTTTGGAAAATGAATGTGATGTTATGTAGAGATAATTATGTATTAATGAGAAGATGATTTTAAGATAAGTGAGAATAATGTTGAGAAAATGATAAAAATACATGCTTAGTTAGCGGACAGTCGTGAGCCCAACATGATTTTTGTGATAATAAGTAAAAGAAAATGAAAATATGAAAATCAGTAAGTATTGATTATGACATGATCAGTAGCGGAAGTTTGCCGAGGGATTGAGAGTAGAGAAAAAATTCTATATAGTATTTAGGCTGCCCTCCGGTGCACAAAGGTATAACCTTATCCCACAGCTTGTTAAGGGACTGTCATATAGTTTGTTGAAGGACTAGAACCTAACTATCCTACTGATTCAATGAAGAGAATAACCTAAGGTATAAGATACCTCAGAGATTTGGGAATGGGGGAAGCTATGGTCTGAAAGTGAGTCCTATAATCTTTGACTAGGTTACACCTTACGATCGATGAGCTTAGGTAGTTCAGTCACACAAACAAAGCCCTATTCAGTATTATAGCCACGATTTCGGTTTGAAGAAAAGGGAGGATATAATGTTGGTTGATCATTGTCTAAATAAATATATGATGTGTCACACGTGTTAAGTTGTGGCAAGTTGCGTGAATAAGGGGTCATGTCACATATCTTAAAATATGATAACAATGCACTTAATATATGTGAGATAACGAAGTTATTAAATAAGAAATGATGAGTTATGACATGTGTGAATATGTTTTGTGTATTTGGTTTTATATGCATGTGCTTGTTTTATAATTGATATATAACTGCATAGGATGAGTTTTACCTTGGTTACTGAGTGGCTAGACTCACCTTTTCATTTAATATTTTTCAAGCTCTAGTTCTGGTGTTGAGAGGGAGAAGATTTAGGAGGCTAGAAATTAGCGTATTCCTATTGTATGCTTTTGGTTTAGATTTATTTTGTGTACAGTATATGATTGCCAATTCTAGGTTGCATGCCATTACACTTGCACTATTTTGTTGTTGGAAATGTCTACTTTGTATTTTTGGCCCTGAGTATTTGTGTATGTTGAGATATATATGTTATAAAGCTAAAATACTAGTGCGAGTGTAAAAATAATAATTTAAACATGTTTTGATTGATTTGGATATTATGCAATGCCAATCTGCCTCCCCTCTATTTTTGGTAAAAAGGGGTTAAGGAGTGAATTTTGGTTATATTGTGTTTTAAGTGTGTGTGATATATTGTACTGGTAATCCTGAGTTCGATGGACATGGTCCAGGTGTTAGGAAATGCTTTTGGCACTTGTTGAGAGTTTCATATACCTTTTTATGTAAAAGTTATGAAAAGTGGTTAAAATATATTTGAGTATTTAACTTTCTGGTATGACTTATTTTGAAAGTGAAACCTATGTCATTAGTTAGCTCGTATTAAGAGCTTTCCATAAATACCTAGATCACGTCATTCGGACGTCGAATGGAGAATCGAGGCGTGTTGAAAGTTCTCCGATTTTGCTATCAAATGACAACAAAATCTGTTGATTTTTCATGCAACA